CACTCCCCAAGTTGAAACACCTTCTCTCCCAACGTCTGAATCACATCCCCTTCCACCCTCGCAACCCTCATGCTGCGTTTCATGAGTTCATGAATGCATGGCGTTCGATAGTCAAGTAGATGAGTGCACGGATGCTGATCACGAGGGGAATGCAAGCTAAGGCCACTATGTATGTCTCCGAATGTCTGAAGTCACAGTTAGATGCTACGAATCGGGGGAAATTCAGAGACCCTCCGTGCGACCTAGACTCATTTGCTGTGAAAAAGGAGGCTGAATTTCTGGGCAAACGGTTGTTTATTGCGGGGACTGACAAATCGGCCAACACTCCCTCTTTTGCTTGTATCCATTTGGTTAGGAAACTGGCTCTGGACAGATTGAGTAGCAAGGACTTTGTGCCAGTTCCCCTCTCTGGTGATGAGGTTATTAATGAGGCTGAGGAGTCCTTGGCTCAAATGTCCCCCTACTTGTCTATTGAACCAAAGAGGTTGCCTTACCTCATGGCCCTATACAAGCATCACAAGCTGGCGTTCAGATGGCTCACGAATGCTTCTTCTTCTTTTCTCACACCCGTTGCTTGCCTATGTGATGCGCTCCTCAAATGTCTTTCCCCTGCGATCATGTCTCATTGCAAAGAGATCACTGACGGCCTGCTGCGTTTTCATGGTGTGGATATGTCCATCTGGTGGGCCATCGAGTCCATCCAGGATTATTGCTACAATTTGCCAGACAGGGTATATGCAGTATTTTCCGCGGATATTACCAGATGATTTGAGACTATCCCGATTGACGAATCGGAGGACAGTCTCACTGCGGCTGTTGCTTTTTTCACTAGGATGGCATTCAGGGCCCGAAAATGTCACTCAAAGCCAATTGTGAAATGCAAGCTTAGCCCCAATGGACGGTTTTCTTGTGAGATGAGGGAGGGACCTAAACGTTCCCCCTCCCCTCGTGTGGTATGGTTAGAATTGAACGATGTGATTCAGATCACTAGATGGTTGGTGGCCAGGTGCTTTACAACGTTTGGGGGACGCGTCTGGAGGCAGATCTCGGGGATCCCAATGGGCCTGCCCTGCTTCCCAATTTGGTGCACTGTTTACTTTTTCAAGTATGAATTTAGGATGATTCAACGTCTGATTGATTCCAGGGCCATCAACCTCCTTCCCCTCTTCAAGCACACCTATAGATACATTCGATGATCTTCATTCACTAAATAACCCCCTCATCTTGAGATTCCTACAGAATCCTCCCCCCACTGAGAACCCGGAGGTAGTCTCTCTCTACCCTAGACACCTCGTTGAGATAAAGAATCAAACTGAGGTATTTGATCTCTCTGAGTCGGGTAAAATATATGGACTCAAAACGCAGTTCCTCAATGCGGAGATCACCGTCACTTCTGACGTCCTTGGAACATTCACCACGACCAAGTTTGATAAATGCCTGACCCTCAAGTTCCCTGTCGTTAGATACGTGAAATGCGCTTCGAACAGGCCCATACAACAGTCCTTGAACATCATCTTGGCACAAGTGCCTTCCGTTTTGGTGATTTGTTTTGAACCCAATATTGCTGCGGAATAAATTTTGAGGGTGGTCACGTACATGACTGGGAATGGTTTTTCTCTTCAAAGATGTGTTATGTGTGTTAATAGAGTCCTTAACTCCCCTCAGAACTTTCTCCCCTCCAGGGTGAATGCTGCGGACACAGACCGTCAGTTCAAGGTAAGATGGACGATCGGTTTGCACACTGAACTGAGTGATGAGTTGGATGGAGGTCGTGTGTCTTAGTTTGTATACACCTGTGTGGATATGTGTGTGCTGGATGCAGCCCCTACCAGTAGGGCGCTCTGGGCAGCTAGCAGGTACCTCGCCAGTGGCAGGTACCTGTTACCTGCCCTGGAGAGCTGCCTTCTAGCGGGGTTGGGGTGGGTCACACACACACACACACACACACACACACACACACACACACACACACACACACACACTGGCGAATGGTGTGGCGTTAGCTCGAATACGTGTCGCTTCGGCTGCATGCCAAAGTAAGGTGCCTATCTTGACTTAAGGATGTTATCATTCACAGTCGGGAGACTACCCTGACACCAGTGCAGCTTGCTCTGACCTCGGATGAGGGTGTTGGTAAATGGACGGCGTATTCACTCCGCAAGAATGCATGAGGTTCCCCTTGCTGGTAAGCCTGGAATTCGGGATTCCCATGCCTGGATACCTGGGAGGCCCCTATGAACCCCTCGCCTTACAATTCCAGACAGGACCTCCCCCACGAGCTCTAATTCCTGGATAACCTGACCCTCGCCTTACACACTCTCTCTCTCTCTCTCTCTCTCTCTCTCTCTCTCTCNTCTCTCTCTCTCTCTCTCTCTCTCTCTCTCTCTCTCTCTCTCTCTCTCTCACACACACACACACACACACACACACACACACACACACATGCACATACATTATCCTGTCTATTGATGGGAAGCGCCACCTGCTGGAAACTGGGTCCAGCGTCCCATGAACATCGTGAATAAGGCATCAACCGGGACCCCACACACACGCTCTCTTCGAGTTGTGTATAGCGAACATGACAAAACATACATACAACATATTCACTACCTTACCCTTCCCGAACCACATAAAGAAACGAACTACGGGCTGCGTACCCGTGCCCTCAAGGTAAGTCAATCAATAAAAGGCTTGTGTTCCTCTCACAAAATGGGGAGGGCTTAGGTGACTCAGAATTGTATTCCTGTCTCCTAAGATGGCCAAATTTTCTGTATCAGGGATACAGGCCAGTAAGGGCAAAGAAGAAGGTTGTTCTTTTTTTTTTTTTTTTTTTTTTTTTTTTTTGTTCTATCAATGTAGTCAGTCGGGGCAGGCATAGATCCAGTCCAGAAAATAGCCCAATCCTTTTGTTTTTCCCGGGAAAAACAATAGTCCAATCTTCATACTGCAAGCTAATCGTCCCGCAGGGTCAACATAGAGGTCCAGAATCTCACAGTCAAAGTCCTTGTCTCCAATTTCGACAGGCTATGGGCCAAGAGAAGCTATCGAAAAAAATCGCGTTTTCGACAGCAGTGTGGCGAGCCCCTAACTGTGTAGGAGCAGCCCCCGCTTCCCAGGTCTACAGAAACATACAGTAATAAGGAAGACCGGCTGCGTCCCCGCGCCTTGCGCGGTCCTCGGCCGGGATTCAACGAGTGCCACACGATAAGGGGGGGCGCGCTGGGAACGCGTTGTGCGCTGTGCGCAGGTGCATCGGCCGGGATCCAAGGATTGCCACACGATAAGGGGGGCGCGCTGTGAACTCGTTCTGCGTAGGCGCGGCGACAGCGAAGAGAAGATATCAATCACAAGCTGCTGTTTCGTGTTTTCGTGTTTTCGTTTGTCGTTCTCGGAATCGCGGAAAGGCGAAAACGAGTTTCGCGGGTCTGTATATGGCCTTCCTCTTTGTCTCTATTCGTCCGTCGAGCAAGTGTGCCTTCTTTGGGCTTCGCTCCACATACTCTCGACATATGCACAAAAGCCAGAACAGAAAATATGGCGCCGCATCTTTCCACGTTCTAGCGGCAGATTCGTCATCATCATTTTGCTCATTTCGCGAGTAGTGGAGCGAGGACCTTTACCGCGCCCGCCGTCCCCAGAAGGTTCGCGAACTTCACGTTCGAAATCGAAACAAACCGCGCGCACGACGCACGTCCATCGACCAATGACCGCGGCGTGGACACTGTACCGGCGGTAGATCGATCATGCGACCGGTCGAGTTGGGTGGGGGTATACCCGGGGGTCTGTCATCTGATTTCCTTCTTGTCGACAGATGAGTCTCTCGCCCCCCATTCTTGCGATCGTCGTTGGCTGACTTAGTGATCGATGCGCTGATGAATTGGTTGCTTGATTGGTCAACTGACTGACTGATTGATTGATTAATTAGCTACAGGGCTTTTGAGGGGCGCCAAAGCACCTGCTACAGTAGCGCTCCTTTTGATGCGCGTGCCATTGTGATCGGCAGTCGAAAAATTTTGAGCGGCAAAGGGCAGTTGCTCGATACTTACTGTAATGTCCATGCCGTCCGTGAGCCATCCCTGCCGCGTAAGCCTTAGTTGACAGGCACACAAAAAACGAAGAGAAACTCCCGCCGTTCTACGTGCTGCTGTGCTGCATTGAGCCGGGGCGAGTGTTTCCCGCTACGGTAGTTTCCTCCCTCCTGCGTTTTCCATTCACATTCCAGCCGAAATCCTCCCGCCCAAATCCTCCCGCCGGAATCCTCCCCTCCCGCGGAAATCCTCGCGCTATCGCGGCTTTGCTGAATGCCATAAGGCGGGAGAGTTAGGGCGCCAAGTCGATCGGACAGATTCGGGCAGAACAAGGAAAGGGGTCGCGGGTAGCAGAGACAAGGCAGGAAAGGGGAGGAAAGTAGGGGAGCGGGAGGGATAAATAGTCACATTTCGGGGGGGAAAGGAGTGGGGGGGTCTACGTGACGATAGGAAAGGGGTCTGCTAGCAAGGGGACTCGATGATCTTGAGGCACTCAAGGACAACAGGACGCGAGGCTCTCAAGGTCGCAGTGAAACCCATTAGAACGCACTGCTGCTCGCAATCAATCTCCGATCAGTCGATCCACCGGCCTATCCCCACGAATCACTCGATCAAGTAACCGATTGGACAAGTAATTAATCAATCAATCAATCAATCAATGAATCATTTGAGCAGTCCATTAATCAGCTAATCGGGCTTAATGATTGATTCTCTCTCTCTTGATTGCGTGTTGACGCTTGGCAGTAAGTGACAGATGGCTCGATTGGGGCCACCACTGGAGATTCATAAAATGGCCGTTGCGCGCGATGTGCGAGATGATTGCGTGTTTGATCATCTTTTTTTTACTGTGCGAGATGCGAAGTTTCCTGTCGAGCACGGAGAGTAAGCAAGGATCTGTCTGTTCGTTGTGATTAGACAAGAAGAGGAAGCAAGGGTCTCGTTCTCGCCGTGTGGACGCCACGTGGCGTGAACCGCGACCTTGTAGCCTGCCAGCGTGTGCTCACGTCACACGTGTAACGATGGATGATTGAGTGACTCACGCTGAATGATTGAGTGACTCACGTCTGCTCCTTATTTTTGTCGAAGTGGCGCACGTTGAATGAATCCCCGTCTGTTGAGTGATTTGGAAAAGAGCAGTTCCGCGGCTGATGATGCAGATCTTCAGCGACCTGCTATCTGATCGGCGTTGACTCGGTTCTAAGAAGCTTCATCGGTGCCAATTGCACATAGTCCAAGACAACAATCTTCTCTCACCTGATCTCTCAATCCATCATACGCGATCTCGTTAGTGCTGCCTTTCACCCTTATTTTTTCTTACATCCTCCAGGCTTCTTGATGAGGCAAAGTTCGATCTGTGTCGGGTAACGTAGCTCCTGTCTCGTCTGCGCGGGCGCTTTTGTGAGTGTGTGTGTGTGNNNGAGAGAGAGAGAGAGAGAGAGAGAGAGAGAGAGAGAGAGAGAGATGTCGTCGTCGAGTGAGTCGCCATGGCAGAGTGCAGCGCAGTCAAAGCTGGCGCGGATGATGAAGGAGAAGGAGGAAGAATACGAGTACTGTGGGGACGTTAAGGAACTGATTCAGAGTCGGCGGAGAGGAGTGAATCAGGCGCCTAAAGTGGTAGTACCTTCTTGTCAGGTGCTTTGCGAAAGGGTCTTGATAAAATCAATCTCTCTTCATTCGGTTGTCCCGCTGCTCGAGTTCGCTCGTCGCTTCTCCGCATCCACTCTTGAGGAAGCTTGCGTCAAATTCATCACCGCGTCTTACCGAACTGTCAGCAAGCTTCATGCCGCGGACATTCTGAAAGAGGCCCTCGGCGCGCAGATCTTTGATTGGCTCGAAGCGGAGACGAGGGAGATGGAGGTGGGTATGAAGAGGTTGAAGGTTCGAGGAAAGGTTAAGGACAGGCCTCTTCCGGCCGGTTTCCCATCAGGTGCTGATAGGCAGGAGCGGCATGGGGGGGCAGTGGAGGGAAGAGGAGCAGAGTGTTCGACGTCCGACCCAGCTGTCTCAGCGCCCTCCCATAGTGGAGCAGGTACACAACAGCCCCTCTCTCTCTCTCTCTCTCTTTTCTATTTCCCCCTCCTTCGCCTTCAGCGGCTAGTTTATGGCTTTCTTTCCCTGCTATGTCTTTTTGTCTCTCTCCTTCGTTTTCACCCGCCACCCGTTTGCACCCACATGCTCTGTTCCTTTCGTTGCATAACGCTACTCTCTCTCTCTCCCTCTCTCTCTCTCTCTTTGTATATACGATGAACAGGCGGGGCCTTCCTTCCGCTTTTGCGCTCCGATTCACAATGCGATGCGATCCTTGCAATGCTATGTGACGACTTCAGAGCATACTCACACTGGGACCTTTTTACTTGTTTCTGGACGGAAATGCAGCCAGATACGTCCAGGTCCGGCCGTAATTACGGTCAGGTACATTCAGAAGAGGTAGTGTGAGTACGCCCTCAAACAGTACACTACGCTACGCTTTGCTATCCTACGCTGTACGCTATTGCATATCCAACGATGGTACGTTGTAATAAGCGAGTCCATTAGCCGTCCTACCTTGTATTACAGTATGTGCTCTGCTGTTTTATTTCGTGCTGCGTTGTTCTGCATATTACGCGTGGGCTGTCGCTCGCAGGTTGCACGATGCGCGTAGGCGTGTGATTGTGTGTGGTCTACGCGCGCTAACGGAATCGACAAAAGAGAAGATACATAGATAGATTAAGAGAGAGAGAGAGAGAGAGAGAGAGAGAGAGAGAGAGAGAGAGAGAGAGAGAGAGAGGAGTGGTGGTTGGGCATGTTTGTGCTCCGAGCAGCTGTTGCTTCTTTGGTTGCGTGGGGAGTTAGCTTGCCAACCACTACAGTATTCATCTGCTATCCTCGTCGGCAGCTTTTCTCGACTTCTACTTAACGTCTTTGTGGTTTTCGTCGTAAGGACTCGATATACCCTTTTAAATTGGGTCCTGCTTTTCTGGATCCCGAGGGAAGTCAGGGCGTACTCACACTGGCTCTATATGAATGTATCTGATCGTATTTACGGCCGCACTTGCATGAATCTGACGGCAATCACGTCCTGAAACAAGTGAGAAAGTCACAGTGTGAGTGTGCCCTCAGTAGGTAGGTTGATCGATCGATGGATCGTTGAAGGAGATCTGTCGTTTGCGACATTCAGCGCGTGGACGCTGCTCTCTTTACCATCCTTTTCCTTCTTCATTTTTTTTCTTTTTTTTTTTGGTTTGTTTACCATCTTCTCTCCTGCCTGCTGTACTCAACTCTCCTCTCATGGGATTGGGACTCGCCGCACGACTCACCAAATGTTGTAAAATGAAGAATTTATGGGCCTTCGGGACATCCGTTAAAATTGGAACGATAGAGAGAAGATTAGCATGACACGCATAATTTTTTAATTTTATTTTTTTAAAGAAGATTTTATGGGCCTGGCTCCAGTATTCAACACTCTACATGCACTTTGACTACGTCTTGGACCAGGTGCGTTTGGAGCGTTCCAACATTTCCAATGTATTGGGACAACATGAGCTCATGAGTAGTGGAACGAGGCCCTATCTTGCGCTACATCGTCACAAGATGGGCCCGCTGGAGTTTTTCTTTTTCTCATTGGGTGAGTGATACTGGGAGCCTCAGTATCTCTTACGAGATGTTCCCCTCCTTTTCGTTGGATTCCTGGTTGTTGTTAGCTGTCGATTAGCATCTCTCCGTCTCTCTCTCTGTCTCTCTCTCTCTGTCTCTCTCTCTCTGTCTCTCTCTCTGTCTCTCTGTCTGTCTGTCTCTCTCTCTGTGTGTGTCTCTCTCTCTTGCGCCTAACTGCTGTCTTCTACCAAGCCGAGCGCATGATATATGGGGCATATTTCATGCATGTAGTGCGAGTTTCAAGCCCGATCCATCAAATAGGAATCAACCTGTCGGTCCTATTCCTGACGAAAAAGATGGTAGTGCTAACTTAACGCCTGGACAGTTCTTTCCCTCTTCAGCTCGTTCGTCTCTCTATGTTTCTCTCCTTCATCAGCTACTTTAGGGGACGCGTCTGCTCTCTCCCACGTTTCTTCCGGTCATAAACATTAATCTGCCGCTCTCTCTCTCGCTTTCTATTACTCGTCATCACCCCTCTCAGTAACCCTTCAGTTCCGCCGCCCCTGTCTTCTTCTCGTCTTATAACCCGTGCAATCATTCAGTTTGAGGGCAAAAGCATAATTACACTAATGTCCCAGCTTTTCTGTTGTACTGTTCTTACACCCCCCCCCCCCCCCCCCCACATTTCCCGCGGGAAAGTAAGCGCGGGAAAGACCTCCACTTGATCGACGGTCACTCTTGATGGATACATACGATCACCTCTCTCTTCTCGTCTCGCAGTGGTCGTGGGATCGAACACGGCCGCGCAAATGATCGACGAGGAGGTGGGACATCTGGCGAGTAGAGAGCTTTTTGCGCTAGCTTGCATGTCGACGAGGGGATCGAACACGGCCGCGCAAATGGTGATGCGATGAGAGAAGTTGACCCGTGAGAAGACTTAGGGCTTTCCAGAATGTCACATTACAGTGGCGATTTTCAGAATGTTAAGGAGTGCCTGAAAGATAGAGTCCAGAATGTCCTATCAAGCTTCTATTAGAGCGCATGACGTAGTAGGGTCTCGGCTTTTGTCTGAGAGGGCAACACGTTTGCCTTTTGAGAATGTGCGTACTCTCTTTGTGTGTGCACAAATCATCCCCTCGTAGACATGCAGGCTAGCGCAAAAAGTTCTCTACTCGCCAGATGTCTGCCGTAGTAGGGTCTCCACTTTGTGTACCCTCCCTTTGTGCACAAACACCCCCTCGTAGTACCCTCCCCCCCTTTGTGCACAAAACACCCCCTCGGTAGTACCCTCCCTCCCTTTGTGCACAAAACACCCCTTCGTAGTACCCTCCCTCCCTTTGTGCACAAAACACCCACTCGTAGACATGCCGGCTAACGCAAAAACCATGTATGTGGGACTGAAGTCTCTACGCGAAACATTTTGGTTTGGTAAGGTCATGCCTTTGGATTCCCCTCCTCTCCCCCCCCCCCCCCCCTCTCCTCTACCCCCCTGGGGAAAAAAAAAAGTTATACTCGCTATCTCCAAATTGAGAAACGGATTACATCCACCATTCATCAGCGGTCTCTCTGAGAAATCGAGTTAAACTGATGCCTTTTGCATGCCCCGCGTTTGCCTGCCTGTTTATCTCTCTCTCTCTCTCTATCTTTCTATCTTTCTATCTATCTATGTATAGGAAGGTATTTCCTTGGCCGATTACACTCTACGTTGTCTTGCTCGATCGATGAGTCGCTCGATTGAATTTGTTGTGTGAGTCATTGATTTACTTGACTGGTCCAATCCACGATTTTCCTCTCTTTTCTTTTCTCGTTTTCTATAGTTAATCCAGTCGGCGGCGCTCGTCGTCGGGTTCCGACGACGTCATTCTCTTGCTTTCTTGTTTCGTTTGCTCGCTCGATTGTGATCGGCCTTGGCCACGTGTGCGCTCTCACACGCGGCGAAGGTCAATCAAATCGAGCGGCAAGCAGACAAATAAATGAAATGAATGAAAATGAATGATGACAGCATATACAGGCAGCAGAGAGCAGACAGCATATACAGGCAGCAGAGAGCAGACAGCATATACAGGCAGCAGAGAGCAGACAGCATATACAGGCAGCAGAGAGCAGACAGCATATACAGACAGCAAGCAGCAGCGAACAACGAGCAGGAGTGGATCTCTCTTTATAAGCGTCTCAGGGCATATTCGTTTCTGGGACTTTGCTGATGCATCTGACCGGAATCATAGCCTGACCTGGATGTATCGGACCGCCATTATATCCAGAACTTGATTAAAAAATCATAAACAATCTTTCACTCGGTTCTCCTCTGAGATCAGACAGACAGAGCCGACAGCGAGCAGGGTTCGCGTCATCATCGTAATGATGAGCCGTGCTTCTATCACTGCCTGTTGACTCAAATACCCTTTTTTTTTTCCCTTTTTTTTCCCTTTCCCCCCCCCCTTTTTTCCCCTTCTCCCCCCCTTCCCCCCCCCTTTATTTTCCCCCCCTTTTTTTTCGCTTTTTTTTTTGGCTACAGGCAAAACAACGACGGCGATGATCCTTTTTAGACATGATCGCATCTCATGAGTGAAACTCTCATCAAGAAAGATAATGGGCCTCGCTCCACCACTCACCAACTGTGCAAAACGAGAGTGAATCTTCCGCTAGAACATGGAAAGATACACCGCCCTGTGCATGTAGCGAGCGGTGGAGCGAGGCCTTCTTATCATTTTAGCTCATAGAGATGGATTAAGTAATGGGGACGTGATTGATTATTGATCGATCTCCGTTTGGATCCGTTTGGAACGGAGGGCGTGAGGGAGGGGGTTATATCAAATATTGACAGGTTGGGGACAGTCGTCCATCTATTTTTAGTTCGCGAGTTTTATGGATTTTGATTGCGCGAGTGTGAGGGAGAAATGATCGAAGGACCATCCGCACGCCACTCACCTTCTTCATCCGAATAGAACGTGGTGGTGGTTAGGGAGGGAGCGTGCGCAAGCAGCCGAACACCACTTGTACCTTCTTCATCCGAATAGAACGCCCAGGGATCATTGGTGCATTTAGACTGGAAGTTGCCCAAAATACAGCCCTATAATGACCGGGCGTTCTATTCGGGCGAAGATGGTAGCCGGTTAGCCGGTTGAGGAAGCGCGCAGGTTCTCGCTTTCCTTGAGCAATGATTGCGTTCGACGGATCGATGAAGTAGTGGTCGATCGATGGGAATCGATTTGGTATAGATCGATGAAGTAGTGGTTGATTGGGATAGATTGACGGATGATGGGTCGATTTGTTTGAGTGGTAGATTGATTATGGATTGATTGATGGGTTGATAGATTGATTTGTTTGATTGGTAGATCGATCAGTCGATGTGGTCTGCATCGAGCAGTGTTTGATTGGTTGAATGATTGATGGATTGATTGATGAAAGCGCACTGATTAATCAGTTGATGACCTAAAAGCGGCGGTATATATTATAAGGAATTTTTCGGTCGCGTGATCGAGCATGGGAATTGATTGGTGGGTTTGGTCGTGGGAATTAATTGGTGGGTTTTGATTATAGGAATCGATGGTAAGGAAGATTGATTGATTGATTGGGTCCTGATCACAACTGAGTTGTGATCGTGGGAATTGATTGATTGATTGATGGGTCGATTATGTTGTGTGTCGTGTGACGAGTGAAAATCAGCCGACAGAGGCACGATCGTTTGGAGGACGGGAGAAGCAGTTGTAGAGCATAACACCAATGATTTGAACAAGAGGGGAATGCCACGAGCCACGTGCCAAATGGACGCCAAGATATCCGTTTGCCACCTCGCCCCCCTCCCTCTCCTCCTCTCTCCTCTCTCTTTCCGTCTTTTCCCTCTTCTTCCTCTTCTTCTTCTTTCGTCTTCTTCTCTTTCTTTTCGCTCTCTTACCTACCACTCCTCACTCTCCCTCTCTCCTCATCGCATGTTGTTGCATCCCCAATCCTTTCTTCGATCGGGTTGCTCTGTGCGCACCTAGGCTTTTCGTCCTCTTGGTCTGATCGACTTTTTTTTTCCTTTTGTCTTTTCGACCGACTTTCTCTTGTTGCCTCGATGAGATAACCTCCCATCGAGAAATCTATCCACTTTCTGTTGACGTCATCGCCGACCGGGGGGCGGGGGGGTTGGAGGAGGACGGGATTGGTGGCGCCCTACCCACCGAGAAATCTATCCAGTTTCTGTTGACGTCATCGCCGACGGGGGACGTCTGTGCACCGAGCGAGGCAGGAGAGGTGTTCATTGCTGTCCCCGCGATTTTATCCCTCCCATCTACTTGAGTCATAGCCATCGGTGTCGGCTGCGTTGCCCGGCTGCCTCCTCCGTATACAGTACAGGCGATTCTGCTTTCTCAGCCGCTGCTGGTGTGCAGGCGATGTGTTGAGCTCAGCGGGTCGTTGGCTCTGCATCTGCCCGCAATTCCCGTCAGGTACTCCGGGCCGTGGAGCCCTCGTTCATTAACTTGTGTTGTGTGTGGCAGCTGTGGCTTGCTGGTCTGGAGGCTTATGATGATTGATTGATGTTGGCGTCACCCCCGCCAGACTTTGGGCCTCGCTCTACTACTCTCCAAATGTGCCAAACGAGAGTGAACCTTCCGCTAGAACATGGATAGATACACCGGGATAGTTTTTGGCTTTTTTGCATTTGGAGAGTAGTGGAGCGAGGCCCTATGGCCCGCGATTCTCCTTCTCTGGTCGTCGGGTCTCCGTGAGTGAGGCCCAGTTACCGGAAAGCCAGATTCATTGTTCCTGGTCTCGTTAGTTTCCTCAAGCGCCTGGAGTCGTTGTGGACGGGTCAATGAAGAAGAACCCCGGGCCAAGGTCCCACTAGCAGTGTTGAGTTTCCTCAAGGCCTGAATCTGGACGAGTTTGTGGAGATGTGCGGTTGAGGAAACTCAACGCGATTTCTGCACATCTCCACAAACACGTCCAGATTCAGGCGTTGAGGAAACTCAACACTGGTAGTGGGACCTTGCCCCCGGGGAGGTGGGAATCTTCGACTGACAAGGGAATACTTACACTAGGACTTTCTCGACGGACCTCTGGGCAGGTTTGCAGTTAGATACATCCGGACCTGTTCGTAATTGCAGTCAGATACGTTCTTGGGAAAGTGCGAGTGTGAGTATGTTCTGAGGGATTACACTGTATATGAATGAACAAGGTAGTTTTTCAAACGAAACGATGACGCTGGCAACGATGAGAAAAGTCAAGGCTTCGGAGGGCTGTTTTTGTTTTTTGTGTGTTTTTTTTTGGGGGGGGGGAGAGAGGGGAGGGGAGAGCTGGGAGAGGGGGAGAAGGGGAAGATTTGGGTTAGGGAGTGGTGGGGGAAGGGGGGCTAGTTTCGGGCTTGGAACTCTTAAACGGGGCTAGTTTTTGGCTTCAAACTCTGAAACGGGGGAAAGGGGGCTAGTTTTGGGCTTCGAACTTAGAAAAAAGGGGCTAGTTTTGGGCTTTGAACTCTGAAAAGGGGTGCTAGTTTTGGGCTTCGAACTCTGAAACGGGGGAAGGGGGGCTAGTTTTGGGCTTCGAACTCTGAAAAAGGGGGCTAGTTTTGGGCTTCGAACTCTGAAAAGGGGGGCTAGTTTTGGGCTTCNGGCTAGTTTTGGGCTTCGAACTCTGAAAAGGGGGGCTAGTTTTGGGCTTCCAACTCTGAAAAGGGGGGCTAGTTTTGGGCTTCGAACTCTGAAAAAGGGGGCTAGTTTTGGGCTTCGAACTCTGAAACATAGCATGCTCGGGTCGCTCGGAGAGAGACAAAAGTTGCTCGGTTACCACCGGGCCTAGTAGCTCAGTTGGTACACCGATGAACTGAACTGTTGGAATACAGACCCAGTTCGAATCCAGCTACAATCAGCTGACCAGAATAAAATCATTCTGAATTACCTGGGCCAGTCAGTTCAATCATGATATCTCGAGGCCGTCCCCGGTTAAAAAAAAAAAAAAAAAAAAAAAAAAAAGTTGCCCGGTTGGACTATACCTCTGTACCTGGCTGGCACTCTGCAGTGTGCACGTGCATGGTCTGCATCTGACGACCCCTAAGCACCCACCCATACGGTCTTACCGGGGCCTAGGTCCCACTTGCACGAATTAAGCCATACTGACCGTAGATATCAAAGATCATCGGCCAGATTCTCGTAATCCGTGCAAGTGGGACCTTTCCCCGGGCCATTGTCGTTTCTCGCCAACCTCAGCGTTCTAGGACGTCCCTTTTTTTTTTTTTTTTTTCCTTTTTTTAAAAGGGGTGACGGTCTTGAGATATTATCATTGAGCTGACCGGCCCCAAACAATTCATTAGTAGTCGGTTTTACTCGTCAAGTTCCATCATCTGGATTCGAACACAGGTCTGTATTTCAACAGTTCATGGGTGTACCCACTGAGCTAGGCTCTTGGGTGACGTCCCTTTTCGATTGTTTTTTTTTTGTTTTTTTTGGTCTTCGTTTCCTTTTTTTTTTTTCTTTTTTTTTTTTGCCCTCTTCCCTTCCCCCTTCTCCTTCTTCTTCCCCCCCTTTCCAGCCCATAAAAAACTTTCGGCTTTGTTTTGTGTACTCCACTTTTTCTTGACTCTTTTATACTCTATAATAAAGGGAATAGTGGGTCTCGTGTGGCGCGGCTGTGAACCCGGGGGCAATGTGTTGGGAAATTGGCGGCAGACAAGGTGCGGTCCCATGGGGAACTTGCACGGAATGCAGTTCCCTCCCCCCCCCCAGGTTCACATGAGTTTGAACGGTGGTGCATGCGTGCCCAAGGGGAACTTGCACAGATTGTAGTTTTTGTTTTTCCCGTTCGCGTGAGTTAAGAGTATGGACGCGGTGCGAAGTATGGCAGTGCGCCTTGCTTTCATTCTGGAAACTTGGTACGCGCAGGGGAAAATAAAAAACGGCTGCGCACCACCTGGAAGTTTTTCCACCACGGCACGTTGTTATCCGAATACACACACACATACACACACGCGGCAGTGTATATTTCCACGTTCCAACAGTAGATTCATTCGATTTTGCTCATCCTATAGATGAAAGTACCATGAGGTCAGCTGCGAGGTTGGAGACACACACACACAGATGCACACACACGTACAGTCATGCTTTTTTTTAGTGTATGGCGAATATGACAACACACACACACACACAAAAAAAAAAAACAAGAAAAGAAAAGTGTGGCAGATCTAGGGCTCTGTTAACCGCTTTTCTCTTGTACAGATGTGAATCACTGTTGTGTATCCTGGTTGTCAGTTTCATGTGATGTTTGGGGTCGTTCAGATCGATGCCAAGCCCAATAATACTGGGATGGAACCATGGCTACGGGTGGTGCATCAGCCCATTGTCCTTCAAAACGATGGTCGCTTGGGTCATTAGGAACCTTTCCTTGTTGAACGGACTTCCTGCTTCAAAGACGTTATCACTTCAGGCGTCTGGGACTGTGCCGATCAGCCGAATGAATGGACCCCCCTCTGACAAGGGAGACGCCAACAGCCATCCAAACACTGAGTTTCCTCAACTACACATAGTTCGGTTTACTGCTCCTCAAGTGGATTGTTCGGCTTAGTCCTCCCCAGGTGCATCGTTTAAATCACCAGAGGGAGCTATCGATCTGCGGAGTATCCCTGAAGTACATCGGTTGATTGACCGGTCCCCTTATTGTTGGATTTATGGGGGAGGGTGACTGATTCGTTAAACGGATCTTCAAAGTGACGCATGTGCAAACTCCAGGCTTTACTCGGCACCTCTACTGACCGTGGGTCACCTCTAGTGACCACAGTAATGACTAGCAATCTCCCTGGCGCTCGTAATCAAGCCACCCCGGTTGTTGACTTCCCATTATTACCCACAGATGCAGCTAGGACTTGTCCTGGATGCACCCAAAGTAAGGACATACACAGATGTTTGTGAATGTCTGAGAGGAAACTCCACTAGGACTCGTCCCGGATGCAGCTACCCACAACTATGACTGATTCTGGATGCATTTGCCTGCAATTGTGCACAGAGTGCGGTCGAAAAAGAAGTCCTTGTGTGGTTATTACTGGTCAAGCCTTGAAATGCTCCTGAGATATGACGACAACGTGTTTCCCGTCTTCTCTTTCTTTACCACAAAGTGCATGAACAAGTTTTGGGAATATCATGTGGATATTGCTAATTAGATATTGCAGTATGTGGTGATCGTTGGCATGAGTGGGATGTTTTTTTTTTTTTTGCCTTCTCATTTCTCGATTTATATGTGTCGTCCTTGCACAGGGGCCATGCTAATCTTCATTCTCTGTATCGTTCCAATTTTAACGGATGTCCCGAAGGACACGTAAGTGGAATGTTATTGAATACGTTGGTGTCATCATGAGCATTGGGAGTGTTTCTATGTCTGATCAGAAGGATCGACTTGTAGTCTCTAGCGTCTTGTGCAGCTGCATTTTCTACTGGGGACTAACGGACGCTTTCTATTCGTTTGATCTCATTCGTTACATCAGAAGCAGGAGGAGCGTGTTGCTATGAAGCAAGCGGGGTACAAGCAAGGGAAAAGGAAGGGGCAGCAGAAGCGGACGCTAGGCAGCCATCACAGCAGGAGAAGCTGGAAGAACAGCAGCAGCAAAATTGTGCATCTACAGGAGAATTGCCAGCTAGTGGAAAACCTCTCAAAGTCTATCCGTACGAGTGGTTACTGCGTGGTATTCAGTGGCCGCCTGACGTGGTACATTCGCTCTCGAATCCTGCTGTGGGAATTTGTTTAAAACACGCAGCATCTAATTAGAGAACAGGCAAATTTATAGGCCGAGAGTGTGCGGAATGCCAGGCGGGTGTGTAGGCACCTAGCACTCCACGACACAAATGTGGCTGTAAAAAGGAGCATTGTTCACCATTTTCTGTTAAAATTGGAACGATACAGAGAAGATTAGCATGGCCCCTGCGCAAGGATGACACGCATAAATCGAGAAATGGTCCAAATTAAAAAAAAAAAAACTCACCGTGACTCACGGAATAATTCGAGATTACCAGAAGCGAACAAAACCATAACTGGCGCTAAACAAAATGGGTATTTGTTTCATCATTCTTGGAGTGGCCAATCCTGACGACAACATATTCTCGTTTTCTGCTAGTGTGAAAAATTGAAAAAAATAGAATCCCTCCCCCCAAAAGCATCACAATCATTTCATCATCGCAATCAATTTTTTAAGTAAGAGAAGAAGACAAAGCAGGATCCAGATAGTAAACAGAGATGGCACATCCAGGTACAGAGTCATGTAAAACTGTCATGCATTGCTATCATGACCGATGTACCTATCCATCAAATTAGTGTCGATGCATTGGTAACTCTGAGCAATAGGGGCAACCAGGGCATCAGTCCATATACATCAGTCAAATGGATTGGGGCCAGATTGTCGAGGTTCAACCTCCGGATGAGTGATCTTTTAGCTGATAGATATCTCACAATGCAATGGACTGATACTTAGTTTTTTTATGTGCATATACAGGCACAGGGTTTTTTTATGTGCATATACAGGCACAGGCCAAGCGCGCTCGCCACAACGTTATTCTTTGACATTTTTTGAATTTCACGCTTTTCGTGACGTGTGTTATGATCCAGGCCAAGTTTGAAGTACTCATTCATCAAATAGTGCAATGCCGTCGGATTGCAAAAAGAAATGAATGAACTTGAGAGGAGAGAGAGGGAAAGAAGAAGAAGAAGAAGAAGATGAAAGAAAGAAGAAGAAGAAGAAGAAGAAGAAGAAGAAGATGTTCACCAGCAAAGACCAGTGAGAATTCCCTTCCTCTTCGCCAACCACTCTCCTCCTCCTTATCTCCTACCCTCTTATTCAAACAAGAAATAATAATAATAATGTTGAATGGCTGAACCAGAATCAATGTCCGAATCTCTCTTCTACTGCAGGCATCACATGAGATCCACCATAGCCATGGCCACCCTTCCTCCTCCTCCTTCCACGACCTAGGCTATGGCGGGCTACAAGGGCACTGCCCTGCTGTGCAAAGTACAACACAAAGCAGCTATGGCTGCTCTAACTCAGGCCGCCATGCCTGACTCTGCCTCAAAGCTTCTTGGTGTAGCTCTACCCCAACGGGGGCTTCCAGATGCAGCGCCCACCAAGGTGATGAAGATGGCATCCACCATAGCCAGGTAAGTACCTCTGGCGCTCCTCCCTCCTAGTCTGGTCTTCTTCCTCCTCCTGTCCTTGTTCCTCCCCAGCAGCGCTGCTCTTGATGCTACCTTCTTCCCCCGAACATAACGTATATGCGTTGTAAACGAATACAATGCATAGGGTGCGATGTGTTCTATTCGAATAGCCCTAAATTTTGAATACAACGCATATGCGTTCTATTTCTTTTTTTTGTCAAATTTGAAAACTCGAATACAACGCATATGCGTTATGTTCGGGGAACGAAGGCAGCACTGCTCCAGCCAGCGCTCCAACCAGTGTGTCGAGGAGGAGGACCTCACTCTTCCTGGAGATATAGCGGCCTACTTTTCTCTTGGCGAGTGACTTCCTAGGCCGCGTGGCCTCCAAGCAACCGGTACCTCCCTTTCGGAGGGAAACATCATTGCAGACTCTGATATTACTCAGACTGGTTGGACTGGTACCCGCCTAGACCTAGCCTACAACTACCGGGCCTCTAAAAATGCCAACTTTGTCTCCATCTGCTCGGCCTCGAGTACCCGGAAAATCTACCTCTACCTGGTGTTGTACCGGCCTACCTGCTACTTGAATGTTTTTCCGCTGGTTCAAGTTTCACGGGCATCCTTCCCTGCCGCTTGAGTGTTTTGCCCGCAGCAACCCTCAATGCGACGGCCACAGGTAAGTACCGGCCCTTTGGGCCTTCCACACGGACAAGTACCCTGGCGTGTCTCACACACACTCAAACCGACAAACACTCAGACAGGCACACACTCAAACGGACAAACACTCAGACAGGCACACACTCAAACGGACAAACACTCAGACAGGCACACACTCAAACGGACAAACACTCAGACAGGCACGCAGACCAGCAAGCACTCGCACACTCACACTCAAACCGACAAACACTCAGACAGGCACGCAGACCAGCAAGCACCCGCACACTCAGACTTAGAAAACTCAGCAACAAACGGGAAACTCGGGAAGGCATGCGTTCCCTTGGCAAAACTCAGAAATCAGCTGTCTCAGTCCGTTGTAACACCTGTCTCTCTCTTATCTGTGTATGCGTCGGAATGCTTATGCTTGTATATGCTTGTGTATGCGTGTGCTCTCTCCTTTTCTCCATGGGGCGCGGTCCCCCCCCCCCCCTCTGTTGTCCATTATCCCTGTCTCCGTCCCTCCCTCCCCTCTCCCTCCTGCCTCTTTCTCACACACACTTGTATCTTTCTGGTTGCTTTTCAAAAACCACTTGGTATAGTGTACTTTTCATCATTCCTCTCCCTTGGGTGGAGGTTGCAGGTGTCATGTGGTGCTTCACTCCAATGACATTTCTTTTTTTCTTTCTTTTTGCGTGTGTGAATCATCACAGGACCCGGCGCATCGAGAAGAACACCTGTCAGAAAAGGATTTTGTTCGTGCCTTTGGGGTATCCTGGGAGAGGTTTGCAAGTTGGCCGGTGTGGCGTCAACGGCTCATCAAGCAGAGAGTGTCCCTCTTCTAAGCCGCAGGGTGGTTCGCTGCTTGTTCTGAGCATTATTTAGCTGCCTGGGTCCATGAGCAACCACAACTGCAATGTAAAGGTGACCCCTGTATTCTGCTGGCGCATCCAGCCCCTCATGCTACATATACGAATGTTGAGCGCGAATCTCAACCTGTTGTTTTTTTTTCCACCTTTCTCCAAGGCACCGCGCCTCGAAGCAGAAGATGCAGAAATACTGCTTCCCTGGCTCATACAACTCAGAAGCTGGCCCCTCGTCACCGGGTGAGTTTGTTTTGTGATGGCCTGCAAGCATGGCAAAGTGCTTTTGAAGATGGAGAACTCACACTTTCTCCCCCTTTTGTCTTTTTCTCTCCCTTTGTGCATGTTGCCGATATAACTCTGCCTGCCCCAGCTTTTGCCTCCCGGTGGCTCGCACCTTTTGGGATTCTTGCACTCGGTAGCAAGGTTTCCAGAGGTCCTGAGATTGTGAAATATAGCTAGTAGACAGGAAGCTTATCGAGGCCGGAAGTTTTGTCATGAGAGAGAGACCCTCCGGGGTTGGGTTGGACCTCTCTCTGTGGTGCAGGGATAGAGGTGCACTAAATGTGCTGCGTGCTCCGTTGCTGGTGTCCTACAAACCCGCCAAAGGTGGGGGTCTGTAGAGAACATGAGACGCAATGCAGCGTGCAGTTGAGAGCAAGAGTTGTACTTTTTTTTTACTTGTTTTTTTATCTCTGGCGCAAGGGATGGAAGAAGCAATGCTCTTGTGGCCCCATGCGGCATTCTTGACTTGGAAGAGATTTTAGATGATTGAATGCGCAGCTCAAACCATGTTGTTGTCGGTAGTATTTGGCCATGACTCGTGAGTTTTTTTTTTTTTTTTTTTGGTTCTTTTTTATGTCTTGAGATTCGTAGTCTGTTTTTTTTTGTCTTGAGATTCGTAGGTAAGTTACGTAATGGTTGATAAATATGAGTGTGTGTGGATGCTGTGCCATTCGTAGTAATGCTGAATCGGTTGTATATTCCCAGTGAACAAACAAACCTTAACTAGCAATCCTTCGTGGTACAAACTTGAGTTATTTGTGCGCACTCAAAGTCCAATAAGAATAATGTGGTAGGTAGCCTGGTTCAGTACTTGGCGAGTGAGGATGTCTGAGGGGTATAGTACCGACACATCGAAATATAGACAGCCGGCAGGCGAACAGACAGAGACAGACAGAACTGCAGTCAACTCACAATCCTTCAGTGAGATGTGGGTCTCTCATGTTTTCGTGTTTTCGTGTTTTCGTCTCGATCCTTCATTAAGGTGCCTCCAAGAATTTGTGAAAGTAGGTATAGAGAACCAAAGCAGTTTCAAGTGGTAGGTCAGTCGGTTTGTACACCCTTGAACGGTTGAAATACAGACCCGAGTAAAATATATAGATAGATTCGAGCAGTAGTTCGGGGGGAGTCTTGTTTGGCAGATTCCGCGTATTTTTCATCGGGCCTTTTTATTGCCGGTTGGTAGGTTTGGAATACGCCCACGTTAGGCTGGAAAGTTAAGACCTGTGTGTGTGCGGATTGCGCTTTGGAGAAGTGAGCTGTCGACGATTGGTAGGGATTGTAGACGTCGGGCGGGTAGTGATATGTCTTGCGTTCTGTGCAGCAGCAACTCGTTTGGTCAATCGTCCGTCAATGTAAAGAAGCATCCAGTGTGAGGAGTCTCCAACTTCGTTACGCGTGGGTAGCAGATTGGAAGCAGATTAAGCATGTAGCCAATTTTGTGCTCGTGTGTGCTCGGAGTTTTTTTTGGTTGTACAGAAGGCATGGGTAGCAGATTGGAAGTCTCTTTGTTTTGTCTTTTTCCGCAGCTGTTTGCTAACCACAACTTTTTTTGTAATTCCATTCATTCCTGAACGGCGACTGCACCTATGGCTACGGATTGCAGAGCCGATGGGCGGGAGCGTCTGCCTTGTGTTACTTGCCACTACAGAAAAGGGGGAGTCGTGTTTGGAGACCTGGCTTTGGGAGAAAGAGAGAGGTGGAGCCTCAGGAAGGTATGAGGGTAAATATTTCACAGTCTTATTTATGTTTCCCCGCCTTTCGGTAAATTTGCTATTAGGATTTGATGATGCACTTGCAATTTCTCTGGGTGCATGCTAAGCGCCATGTGCGTACATATATTAACTTGCTTTTTGGAGGCTGACCCCCTTCCTGTGCTTCTTTGTTACGCACGTATGTTAGCGTGCTTTTTGGACGCTGACCCCCTCCCTGTGCCGCATTGTGACCCCCCTTCCTGTGGCAGATGATAAGAGGAGGCTGACCCCCTTCTTGTGCCGCATTGTGGCCACCTCTTCCTGTGGGAGATGGTGGGAGGAGTGGGAGATAATGGGGAGGAGTGGGTGATGAAGAGGAGTTTGGCAGTGACACATTTCCAGAGGTCAATCGTCAGTTTCTCCCTCCCAAGGACACTTTTCCATGTCTCTGAGCAATCTGTTGTGCACCAGTCTGTGCCTTTTAAGGCTGCCTATGGCAGATGATGACAGGAGTGATGACGAGCAAGGGGGTTCTTCGGTGGATGAAGAGGTAGGGGTGATGACAAGTGGTGGTTGGCTGCCCTTCTTGTGTTGGATTTTTTTATCGCTCGTCAATCTGTAATGTCCCAGTTTATGAATTTCAGTCACAGGCAGGATGTGTTTGTGAAGCACGAAGGCAAGAAAGTTGAGTGTTAAGGAATGGACCTTGGTAATGATGGCGACGAGTCTTTTTCGCCGTTCATCAGAACTCACTATGGGGCTCAGAAATGGGGGAAGGGGGACAGGGAAGGAATGAAGCAGCTGTCAAGTCAAGTGAGTGGCAGGCTATGGACAGCCATTGATTGGGTTGGGATAAGTAAGAGATGGTTAATGGATATAGTCAGGTTCTCAATGATTGTTTTTTAAATCCTTGGGAATTCAGAGCAATGGAAAACTTCAAACAGAAGAAGAAGAAGAAGAAAAAGAAGAAGAAAAAGAAGAAGAAGAAGAAGAARAGCTATTAGGACCATCACATAAATGAAGCAAATCCCCAAAGCCCGCCAAGTAGTGAAGAAGAAGAAGAAAAAGAAGAAGAAAAAGAAGAAGAAGAAGAAGAAGAGCTATTAGGACCATCACATAAATGAAGCAAATCCCCAAAGCCCGCCAAGTAGTGGTAGCAGCGTCCGTACAGCACCAACTTGGTAGGACAACGAGATGGCGGAGGCAGGCCTTGATAAGAAGAATCTGAGTGCTTGGGTGCGAGGTATAGTTGAGTTTGTGGAGTTGGTAAAAGATTGTTTCACAGATTTGAATGCTTTGCAGAGTCTGAGCGCGTCGTCTTTTCTCTCTCTTATTGAAGTACAGATTTGAATGCTTTGAAACCTTTGTTCTTCTTCTTTGTGTGTTGCCCAGCCAATTTCATTTATCTGCTGCCAGCCTTTCGGACAAGTTCCGTCCATCGTTTTCGCATGCTCACATCTTGTAGTGTGGGTGCTTTGGCATTCGACCTGCGCTGCACACACACACACACACACACACACACACACACACACACACACACACACACACACACACACACACACAACCGGCAGTCTGCTAGGATTGCAGGGTTGGTGTGAGTAAGGTCGACCACTTTTCTCTCTCAGGGATGGGTATCGCTAACTCTGGGCGATGTGGTGAGTCCTTAATGCTCCTTATCCATCAGTCAAATGCATCCTGGGCAGACTGTCGGGGTTCAACCTCCTGACGAGTCGGTGAAAGTTCGACGAAACAGTCTGGTACAGTCATGCTTTTTTTTTAGCGTATAGCGAATATGACAACACACACACACACACACACACACACACACACACATACACACACACACACACACACACACACACACACACACACACAGCCTCAACTGAAGATGATCTCTCCGTGGAGCACATGCTTGAGCGCATGGAGTCGATACGACCAGAGGCACCTGACAGAAACAGTCAAGACCGCGATGAACCTCTCCCTATCGTGCAATCTGCTTGATCGGCAGGATCAAATGATCTCACACTGCTACAGGGAGGCCACTGCTCGTACTATGTGGTTAATGTATGTCTCGTCACTTACAGGTGTAAACCCTATACCGTGTCTGATTTTGCAGATCTTGACCGCTGGACAGAAGAGGAGCACGGAGGTGTCTACCCAGAGGATGACAGTCTTGTGCCTTTTCACGCCAGGCACAGAAGTCCTGTCCATGGCATTTACAGGAAGACGACTACAACTACAACCCGCTCCACAGAATTACATGCCAGGCATAGGCCCAAATATTTTTGCATATATCCTGCATCGTCCAGGTCATTTTAGTGCTATGGGGCGATGGCGGCAGGGTGTGCACAGTGGTAAATATTAACTCTTGTTATCACCAAGCAGTAGAATCCCACTGTCCGGCTGGTCAAGAAGGAACAGTATGCATCTGTGCACCCGCGAGCTCTACAGCCTCTGGGGAACAATCTGGCTGAACCTCCCCCATCCCCTCTACATGACCAGGCAGTGTCCTTTCCCTGTGTAGATCGGAGAGATTCTGCCACGGATAGCGAGGAAGCCTTTGAAGAGGATGGTGGCTGTGCCATGCCATTCTGTCTTCACACAACTACACTCCGTTTAGCATGCACATGGCATAGTCTCTGCTTCGAACACTACAAAGGGATGAAGAAGGGATGGTCATTGCCAGTCTCTGCAGCAAAAACTGCAACCCATCGTCTTGCACTCAGCCCTACCACCCCCTTATTACTTTACCTGATATGCGGTTGTGGCCTTGACATGGCATGCTTAGATAACTGCGAAGCGAATGTTAACCTGCTTTCGTGCTGGCATGTCAGCAACGTGCAATGCGTTGTCAATGCTTCCAGCCAGCGGTCATTGAAAGCATGTGTCTCAATCAGTTCTTGTTAGTTTAATGTATAGAAGACAGCGGACACTGGACACGATTTCCAGAAAGTGCTGCCGCCCACTGCCAGATTGGAGCTTCTGACATAAGCATGGAGAGCTATTACAGTGGATTTACCCTGGTGCAGCTGGCTGCCCTGAACCACCAGTACCTTTTCTATGTATCGGCTGCGGGCCCCTCACCGCGACTCTCGGAGGCCCGAAACGGACGATGGACTGCCAATTAAATTTATCAACGACAGCCCGAATCTTGCTCGCCTTCTCTGGGTAACCCGCTACAGAATTGCTTTTCAAGCAGAGAAACATAACCTTCTGGTTTAAATCACCAGGACGCATGGGCCCGGCTGCGCCGCACTGCGAGCCGTTCTTTGCCGGACCTCCAGCGGGGCACTTTTTTTTTTCGGCTGGTGCCGCCGGCCACTGTGGTCAGGTAGCCCCGAGCCTCCAAAATTTTAGGATTGAGACATGTAGAAATAGAGAGAGCAGGCGCCAAGGAGATCTTCATCTCCATCCCAGCAGGCAGCAGGAAAGATGTGCTTACTCAAACCAGTGCCCTCTCAATGGAGCTCTCCATGCATGAGCTCCATAGAGCAACTCCAGTGCCCTCTCAAACCAGTGCCCTCTCAATGGAGCTCTCCAGCGGAAAGCAGGAAAGAGATCAAACCAGTGCCTTCTCAATGGAGCTCTCCATATAGCAAGATTGTGCCACTCATATCTATGAAGAGACCGAAACCACCTACTTGCACTCTGCCCCCCCCCCCCTTGCCTCCTCCAACCAGTTAGATTCAAAACAGAGTACTTTCTCGGAGTGCTAGGGTGAATCGTGACAGACGTCAAGAACGGGTGGGCAACAAACCCTATTCCCATTCCAGACAAACTGTCGTGAACTGCAAACAACTGGAAAATAACAGTAGGGCCACAGAGGCACTTTGCAGAACTACAACCTGCCTTCACACTCTCCCTGCTCCAAGCGAAGCGACCCAGCTAAACTGCAGCTCAAGGCGCGGTGGAGACGGCCGTGGCCGAGGTCACCCAGCTCGCGGGGCGGCACCAGAGAAGCCTGCCAGGCGATCCGCCTGCCGAGGCCGTAGCGAGATCAGGGTCCATGCCATAGTATAATCCAGGCATTCAATCACCACGCCAGTGAGTAGTGATTGAATGCGTGGGTTATACTGGAGAGGTGCCTAGGTCATATGATCTTTATTTTTTTCACCGGAGGGTCATGCCAAGCTTCTCTGCATCGTTCCAATGCCACCTGAGGGGTGTTTTTTGAACGGGCAACCCTCAGGTGCGAAGCAAACAGCGCCCTTTCTCTTCTTGTTGGCTTCTGGCTGTGAGAATTTTGGAATCCAGGTAACTGCGATCCGACTTGTGTGATTGTATCTCAAGATCGCTGTTAGAAAGATAGGAAAAATTTATGGCGTACCCCACTTTTGATTTGTCTTGGGCAGAGGCTAACGTTGTTGTGGTGCCCCCCCAGGGATCCCTCCAGATTGCCGGTGCACCCAGCTGTGAGTGGGACTGAAACAAATGAGTTGCAACTCCCCATTCCTTCTTTCTCACACACCCAACTTCCACATGTGTATGTGTGCTCTGGGGGTGCCTGTGCGGGAGCGCACAAGAGAGAGAGAGAGAGAGAGAGAGAGAGAGAGAGAGAGAGAGAGAGAGAGAGAGAGAGGCAGGGGGGAAGGGGAAGTGGTGAAGGGCACCTAGAGGTATATGAACATTTTGCACAACCAGGTTGTGTGTGTGTGTGTGAGAGAGAGAGGGAGAGAGAGAGAGGAGGTGGGGGGGAGGAGGGACCGAAGCGCAGCTGAGGGTATGTAAACAATTTGCACGCCCAAGAGAGAGAGATGGACGGGGGGGTGGGGTAGGGTGAAGCACAACCGGGGTTGTATGAACAATTTGCACGATCGGGTTGTGGAGTATAATGTCAATTTGTTTTGCCTACTCTGATCCTTCAGGGGCATTTGGACAATTGCAACATTGTGGTCGTTTGTGATCCAAACGACACAAGA